TCTTTGTACCATTTCCTATGGATATTTCTATAGTTAGTTATATGCCGCCACCAGTGGCCTTATTTGGTAATGCACTTGTTTTTTATATTACCTCCCTGAGATCTATGACACAACTCCTTTGCATATGAAGCTCCTCCCTTCTTGAGTACAGCACTTCCTGTGTCATGGATGCAGCTAACAGTGCACATATAACAGGGACACATGGATTCTGCATAGTACGCTACAGAAAGTATCATCTTTTGACCGCATAATACTGGAAACCATTCATTCTGCTGTATCCTGTTGTCATATGTACAGAATAAAGCAACTTCTGGATGAACACAGTATTGGTGAGTTCAGCTATCTGATAAGGATTGCCCACAGTGATTATATCTGCTTATACAGGCTAGGCAGAGAGGTCTCACAAGGGATACATTGCTATCACAACAATCTGAGTCAGAATATTAGCACATCAACAATGTTTCCTAGATAGCATTAAAGCGGTTGTAAACTCTTACATACAGTATAGCCACTGACGTTACTATCCTCAGTTGATGCACAAAGATGAAACATATCCTCCTACATACTGTAAGTTGTGCTTGTTTGTCTGCAGCCCTCTTTTGTTGTACAAAAACACACAGATTCAAGGCCTTTTCTCAGTTCCAGAAGGCAGGGATCTGACGCCAGACACTGCAATGCATAAATTACAGAGCTCAGTGTAATCTGAAACCTGAGTGGGGGGAATGGACATCCCTCCCTCCTACTCCCCCCCCCCCCCCCACACACGCACACACACACACTCTGTTATAGGGAGTCATGGACAGCTGAGGCTGTCAATCACCTGCTGTGTGCTGGAGAGGAGGTGAGGCCATTACCTGTGATTGTATGGTGTTGACTCATACAGAAAACAGAGATAGGAGACAGCAGAGAGGAATGACACTTGGTGCTGTGAACTGAGGCACGTACACATAATAGAGAGATGTTCTTTATTCATTTTTCATGTCTGAGGTTTACAACCACTTTAAGTATCAACTGCACTTTCACAGAGTATGTTACATTTTGGCAATGTAGTTGGTTACATTTTGGGATTTAAATACATGCTTTAAACATCTGTTGGCTATAGTTCTGATATTTTAGAGTTGAATCTACATTTTGGAGTGTTTTGGGCAAAGAGAGATTCAAAAGCTAGTTCTGAGATACCATTGTGCTCCACAATTAGATAGAAATATGACCCGCTGGGTTGGAAATTTATGGCAATATTATCTCCTAATTGTTATTGAGAAATCAGCGATCATGTGGTGGTGCTTCCCAAGTGCACTTGCATGTTGAGTCAAAGTAAAATGTAAGAAAGATCACTATCTTTCTAGCTTCATTTCAAATGCATAGGCCAGTTTCATTACAGTAGGTGGCAGAGGAAATCAAAGTGAGGTAGTTACACTGCAGGTTTTTTTTTTTTTTTTTTTTTTACATATTTATTCAATAAGGCAGTGAACACGCTTCAATAATCATAGCATATCCAATCCTAATGCATTACCTATTCTTCTGAGTAGACTGAAATATATTTGCCACCACTTTTAGTCACTACAATTTGTTCCTAAAGCTAAGTCCGGTCAAAAAGCTAAACACACAGTTAAAATACATATGTTACTATTTTACATGACAGTGGATTTAGAGTTCTGCCCTGGCAGTCCAGAGAGTGACAGTCCTGTTGGGAAGCCAAGCCACAGAACATTGTGTCACCTTAATTTTCCCCGTAATTCGTAAGTTGTAAACAAATGTGTTCAGATTTAAATCTAATGCCTGTGCTGGCAGCCAGAGAAGGTGACCCATTTGACAAACGACAAATACATACTGCCATTTGTAGACACTATAACTTTCATGTAAACCAATTAATACACTTATTGGGATTTTTTTTTTTTAGCAAAGACATGTAGCAGGGTACATTTTGACCTAAATTTATGACAAAATTTTATTTTTTATTTTTTTACTGGGTATGTTTTATAGCAAAAAGTCAAAAATATTGTTTTTTTTTGTTTTTATTTTCAAAATTGTCAGTCTTTTTTTGTTTATAGCACACAAAATAAAAAATGCAGAGGTGATCAAATACCACAGAAAGAAAGTTCTATTTGTGGGAAACAAATTACATAAATTTTATTTATGTACATTTAAATTAACGCAGCACCATATCGCATAAAAATGGCCTGGTCAGGGAGGGGGGTAAATCTTTAGGAGGGCAAGTGGTTAAATGAAAATTGTACAATCTGGTATCTTATGAGAAAAATGTTCCTGCTTGTCCCTTCAAATAATTTTGGACAAAAGCTGTGTACTAACGATTAGATTAGCAGATCCCTTTGAAAGCATTTTTTTTTGCACAATTTTCTGATCCTGTGTATTAGGCTTAAGACAGTGTTTCTCAACTCCAGTCCTCATGGACCCCCAACAGGTCATGTTTTCAGGATTTCCCTCAGATGAAACAGCTGCGGTAATTACTAAGGCAGTGAAACTGATCAAATCACCTGTGCAAAATAATGGAAATCCTAAAAACATGACCTGTTGGGGGTCCATGAGGACTGGAGTTGAGAAACACTGGCTTAAGACGTGGGCTGGAGGGGCGTGACACAGCCTGAGACTGGCAGAAATCCACCCATACCATGTTATTGCCATACCAATAATACAAATTTGATTTCAAATAAATATTTGTATGAAGATTTAAAACAGGTTATAATTTTTTTTTAAATTTATTTTTTTTATTTTGTATCCCAAGGGCTGTTTTTATTTGGTTTTATTTTGACCAGTAGCAGTGGGACTAGAAGCTCCTCTTGCTTTTGTTTCCCTGCAGACAGGCTGGGAAAGAGCTGGGTCATGTGACAGGTGTATATCAATTAGGGAAAAGGTACTGATTTTTTTTAATTAAAATAATTACAGAGCCATCATTCACTTAGAAATAGAAAGGACAATGTAAATACACATTGTGTGTTTAGTATCACTTTAAGCTTTGCTCCTTTTTAATACAGATTGAGAATAAATATTCTGTTGCACGAACTTGAAAGCTGGCCATAGAGTGCTTGAATCTCGGTTGGTTCAGCAGGGACCAGCTGAGATTTGAACCATGTATGGGCAGGCTAAATGAATCCAAGTTGATAATTCGAACAACTTGGGTGCAACCAGCCTGTCGGATTGTACATGTGATTATTGCTAGCGCTGACTGTGATGGGGGAATCGAGAGATTTTCCAAAGGTTGCAGGAAAGAAAATCTCTTTAGCTGACAACCAGATTTCAGTTTAAGTCAAGACAAGTTAAGTTAAGCAAAATGATAATTAATAACTGGATGTTGTGGTGTCATCCTGTTCTTTGCAGTTTGAAGCTGTTCTTTGTGTTGCCTACTTGCATGTAGCTATTTAAGGTCTTTGGTTGTTGTAATTCTGCTGTCTATGCTTTTCTTAAGAATAAGACCTTTGATTGGGCAGTGAAAACCTGAAACTTTTTTTTTTTTTTTTTTGAAGTACATGGATTTAGTTTCTTTACCAATATTGTTCTTAACAATTCTTCTGTTTATTAGGCTATAATGAGCTCATGGCCTGTTAAGTTTCTTCAAATTGCAGACTTTACATCCATGCCTTTTTGTGCCTTTTATCATTGTTTATTATTTCTCATGTGCACATCATTGAGTGGTTCTTTGATAAACTCATTGTTTTGTATAAACATGAGCTTTCTGATCAGAGAACATGGCTGCAGAGCCATTTTGAGGACCTATCAACTGATAGCCTTGAAAATGTAATGTAACATTTAGAGATGATGATGATTTGTTTTGAAGTATAAGAGGTTTGAAAATGCCACTGTGCTCGGGGAACAAACTGTAATAGGATTATTTCTGTGGTTGGGTAAATTGTACAGCGGGGTACTCTTGTTTTCATATATATCATGCTATTAATAAATTAGAAAAAGACCGCTAGTGAAATACATAGAGATATAAGTCCGCCCTATACATATTGCTAATAAAAATATATAGGTGCCTATTTCTAACCTTCTAAATGACCAGGACATTTTTTGATATTTGGTACTGCGCTACTTTACCTGGCAGTCGTGCAGACATTTAACACTGTACCCAAATTACATTTATATAATTATTCTCACACAAATTAAAAGCTTTCTTTTAGTGGTACTTGATCGCCACTGGGTTTTTTATTTTTTATTATATAAACGAAAAAAGTTAAATTTTGAAAAATAAATATTTTTTACTTTTAGCTATAGAACATAATAACAAAAAAAATCAAATGCCTTCAAAAATTTAGGCCAAAATTTATTCTGCTGCATGTCTTTGGTATTAAAAAAAATCCTAATATGTGTATATTGATTGCTTTATGTGAAAGTTAAAATGTCTACAAATGATGGTATATATACTGAATATCTTTTTTTTTTTTTTTTTATTATTATTCTAGTAATGGAGGTGGTCAGCGGCTTATAGTGGGACTGTGATAGTGCAGCTGGCAATTTGACACGAACTGATGGTGGATGGGAACTGACTAGCTGACACTCACTGACATTACCACTGACACTAATACAGTGATCAGTGCTAATACTATACACTGTCACTGTACTAATGACACTGACTGGAAAGGGGTTAACATCTAGGACAAATCAAAGGGTTAACTATGTGCCTAACAATGTATTGAGGAGATCAATTTGTTTAATTATAAAAGAAAAAGTGTTGCTATCTTTCTGACTGTGCAGTGGAGCAGAGCTATGTAAATTTCAGGACTGAAATGCTTGAGGTGATTGTAGCCGTATTAGTGCACTTGGGACAGAAATAATTGAGTACTGACGTGATACTTTTTTTTATTTGCACTAACATACAGTTTTGAGGAGAAGCTTTTGGGGTATGTCCCCTTCTTCAAGGTCCAGGCAAAGTTTTAGCAGAATGTTAGAAGAAATGTTGAAAGGGGGAGAAAACCCCCCCAAAACAAAACAAAACAAAAAAAACCCAGAAAGAAACACACACAAACAGATGTACACAGCAATGGTTAAAAGACTAGGATTAGACTAGAGATAAGACACAGCAAAAGCAAAGACTTGGGGGGGGGGGGGGGGGGGGGGACAACACTCACAGAGGGGGTCATAAAACTGTTGGATAATGAGTGAGGAATCCCATGTCCAAATTTAGGCCGTTATCTCTTGTGTCAAATGGAATTATCATTCTTAGTTCAAAAGTTTTAGTTAGCTTTAGTTTTTAAAGGAAATTTCAAATCTATTCAGCTTGAGGTGATTGTAGCCATATTAGTGCATTTGCGACAGAAACAATTTAGTACTGTCCATGATACTTTTTTTATTTGCACTAACATACAATTTTGAGGACAAGCTTTTGGGGAATATCCCTTTCTTCAAGGTCCAGGCAGTACTACCTAACAAAGTTTTAGCAGAATGTTAGAAGAGATGTGGGGAATGAAAAAAAAAAAAAAGAAAAGACTATAGATAAGACACAGTAAGAGCAAAGACTGGGGGGGGGGGGGGGAACAACACTCACAGAGGGGTCATAAAACTTGGATAATGATTGAGGAATCCATGTCCAAATTCAGGCCGTTATCTCATGTGTCAAATAGAATTATCATACTTAGTTCAAAAGTTTTTCTTTCCTGAATGGATTTGAAATTTCCTTTAAGAACTAAAATATTGAGGTCTCCCATAGTGTGGTCTGGTTGTGCGAAATGGTGTCCCACAGTTGTGCAGAAGTCATCTTCTTTATGTTCCTTGATGGTATGTCTGTGCAAATTCATCCTTGTTTGCAACTTCTGTCCTGTTTCACCAACATAAGATCCTTTGCTACATTTTCTGCACTGGATAAGGTACACAACATTACTGGAGGTGCAGCTGTATGATCCGGAGATATTGAAGATCACAGATGTGATCTTCAGAATCACAGAATGTCACAGATCCTTATCATCCTCACCAAACCATAAATACACTGCTGAGGATGTTACACAGCTCATTGAATTCATACTTACACACAACTACTTTGCTTTCAATAAAGACATCTATCTTCAATGCATGGGTATTGCGATGGGAAGTAAAATGGCACCCCAATATGCCAATTTATTTATGGCTGACCTGGAGGAAAAATTCCTGAATAGCATGGAACAAAAACCATACAGATACTATCGCTATATTGATGATATTTTCGTCATATGGACAGAAGGTTAGGAATACCTAAAACAATTTTACTCATTGATCAACACTTTTCATCCATCATTCAAACTAACTAACTCAGTCGATCAAATCTGATAATTAAGAATCTGCTTGCGCTCCTATGTAAAATACAATTGGTAAACGTGTGAAGCTGCTAACATCTGATCCAATACCCCAAGATCAAAACAATGCAGAAGAAATACAAATGATGTAGCGCTAAAACACCCAGTTAAAGCGTCAGTGCCTTAGGACATGCAGCATGATGTTAAAATCCTATATGAACATAATACATATATGTGCGTGATGATACTGACAAAATGGAAAACAGATGTGCAACCCCTACACACAGTGCACATATATGAATATAAAGTCCAGTGATCCTGTATCAATATTTGCACTCAAACAGAGTCCTTGGACTGTATGTGGGCCCGCACACCACCACGTGCAATCCGAAATCAGCTGAAGTGGCCTCTCACCTCCTCCCTGCGACCCTGCAGGGCCACAGAGCTTTATCAGATCCCCACTGAGTCAAGGTATGCTTCCTCTTGAGTGGATGGTTGGTATATCCCCAGTATACAGCTTCCACCTCTCCTGTGGTATCCTCCGAGGTGAGCTGAGCAGGATGCACCCCAGCTCAAGCCCCCATGGGATAAAGGAAGCAAAAGACATCCTCCATAGTGTAAAAAAGCCGTTTAATAAATGCCGGAAAATAAATGTATAATACACTCACATTTGCCAAATAACATACAAGCTGTTTCCCATAGCATGGGTGTATGCGTGTGGCTGAGGGTGTACCAAGATGGCGCCGCGCGGAAGTGCGTCACCACGTATTGCCGTCGACGCGTTGCGTCACGTGACCCCGTGACTTCCTCAGGACTGTGAGTGTATTATACATTTATTTTCCGGCATTTATTAAACGGTTTTTACACTATGGAGGATGTCTTTTGCTTCCTTTATCCCATGGGGGCTTGAGCTGGGGTGCATCCTGCTCAGCTCACCTCGGAGGATACCACAGGAGAGGTGGAAGCTGTATACTGGGGATATACCAACCATCCACTCAAGAGGAAGCATACCTTGACTCAGTGGGTGGGATCTGATAAAGCTCTGTGGCCCTGCAGGGTCGCAGGGAGGAGGTGAGAGCTGATTTCGGATTGCACGTGGTGGTGTGCGGGCCCACATACAGTCCAAGGACTCTGTTTGAGTGCAAATATTGATACAGGATCACTGGACTTTACAGTTGGTCCAAAATTATTCAACCCCACTGAAATTGAGTGTTTTGGCCAGTTTGACATTGCTTTTGATCATAAAGCTCTGTGGCCCTGCAGGGTCGCAGGGAGCCCATTCTTCATGAGGTGAGTCACATTCTTAGGCTTGCGCACTGCAACTGCTTTCTTTAAGTCCCACCAGAGGTTCTCAATCGGCCACTTCAGCTGATTTCGGATTGCACGTGGTGACGGACTGTGTGGTACGGTACCTGCCCACATACAGTCCATAGGCCTTGTTCTTCCTCCTCCAAAGGACTCTTTTGTTTCATCAGTCCACAGAGTGCAAATATTGGCATACTGCAGTCGACTCTTCTTATTCTTTGGACAGGGGATCACTGGACTTTATATTCATATATGTGCACTGTGTGTAGGGGTTTGCACCTATCTGTTTTTTAGCCATTTTGTCAGTATCATCACGCACACATATATGTAGGAGCTTATCACAGTCATTTAAAGCTGCCTTCATATAGGATTTTAACATCATGCTGCATGTCCTAAGGCACTGACGCTTTAACTGGGTGTACTCGATCAAATCTATTCAGGAAAGAAAACCCCCCCAGTCTTTGCTTTTGCTGTGTTTTATCTCTAGTCTAATCCCAGTCTTTTAACCAGGGCTGAAATGCAATCCTTTGGAAGGTAGAAAGACTCCCATACCATGGGTTATATTTGCATATTTATATCTTTTTCTGGAGCTTTAGGTGATTGGTTGCGTAATTGACAAGTAGTAGGGATCCAATCAGTAACACCTCTTTCTGCCATCGACCAGTAGGCGGTGCAACAGTCCCTTCGCCTTGAATTGGCGAATGATCTCTCTCTTGTCTTCCGTGACCATTAAAATCTCTTGCTTCACCATTCTCTTTGTTTGTAACCACACCAGTAAATGTCTAGAAGGAGCTGAGTATCACAGCTCTGGAGTTGAGATGGGAGGGTGCCAGTCAACATTAAAGTTTTCTCTGCCAGTATCTCTTGATCTATTGATCGTTTTTAGGTGACACTGAATGTAACTGCAGCTTTGATATTTTTTCTTTATGTTCCTAACTTTTTTGCTAGGTTTAGCATAGGTTTGTTTCAGTGAAACCCAATATTATAGTTGTTATAATAGGTGCACTTTGGCAAAAATGTGAATCTCTCACCTTTTGTGTGTTTAGTTCACAAATTTAACAGTGGGGATGAAAACTGTCATTCTGATTTATATGCCTTTATGTAACTTGATGCATCCCAGCAAGTTTTTTGTAAACTAATTAAAAACATGAGCAGAAGCATTGATGGAGCTTATGCAATTAAATGATCTGTTTTCATGGCAAGATTTAAAGCCCAAACAGTGAACCTTCCCACCTGAATGTGCAGCTGAAAAGACTTGATTTCACAGCTGGTGATTATAACATTGAACTATAAAGAGTCTGGAATTAAACTGTATCCTAAAATTGCTTTTCAGTTTATCAACAGTAACACATTGTTGGTTTTGCTTTGTACTTTTTAATCACTTATACCCGAAGGAAGATGCTGATACTGCAGTAATGATACTTAAATATACTATTAGACAGGGCACAGTGATAATTACATTTAACAGGAAGATGTCATTTTTCGAGGCTTTGTTTGCTCTGTACGCCATCTTTTTGCTTAGAACTGCAGGGTTCTCTAAATCGCAGACATTTTTTTAAAGCATAACAAATACCTTTTTCTAATATTTTCAACAAATGTCCTCATAACTTTTTTTTTTTTTTATGATTCTATGGTGTATATAAACAGTTGATGCTATGGTTCTACAGTATAAACCCAATGGTGTAGGGGTGTCAGGATACCACGTCCTGGTAACCTGCTGTGCTATTGTTGCCAGATATGTGGAACCTTGACTCAAGTGAAGAAATACAATTTATTATAAACTCAAGAATAGAATAGACGAAAATTAAGTAACCTATTTCTTTGCAAATATTTAACTTGTGTGAAAAGTGCAAAACTATGTAGCTACTGAATTGTGTACAAAATGAGAGTGGAGTAATACAGGAGTACAAAGTGACAGGAAAGCAAGTCAGGAACGGGCCAGAAGAGGTAGCAGGTCCACAACCACACATTACAGAGGCACTGTGTAATTCTTGAAGAGGGGCTAAGGCTGATAGAGATTTTCTGCCCAATTTCCTTTAGATTTACCTAACTATGTAGGGCCTACCTAATTGCAAAAAGTTGTTTAGGTTTGTCCTCCTAAATGGTTTTTGGTAAATCTAAACTTTAAGATAATTGTATAATGTATGGCCAGCCTAAGTAGCCTACCAGCAAAAGTTGCAAATTAACTTTAATCTCTTACCGATACCCTATAGCAGAAAAACTGCAACAGGGTGACACATATATATATACATATGGGTAGGGGGCACGCGCCGCCAGTCATGGCCACGGCTGTCAATCACTAGGTCCCAGCTGGTGATTACTCGCCAGTGCCTGGTGATTACCGAGGATCTCTGACTGTTTTGTTTACTAACAGTTCTCCTCCCTGTCAGCTTGGGCACCTCTTCCTTCCCAGTGCCATTAGTACAGTGTCAGTGCTTTTTTTTTTTTTTTTTTTTTTGCACTGATCACTGTATTGGTGTCATTGGGGATGTCAGTGACACCAAGTCAGTTCCCCCCAGTATCAGAATGTCTGCCGCAGCCCTGTATAAGTCGCTGATCGCCACCATTACTATACATCCCAGTATATATAACGCCATTTGTAAACGCTATAACTTTCACATAAACAAATTAATTTACACGTATTGGTATTTTTTTTTAGCAAAGACATGTCACAGAATACATTTTGGCTTAAAATTATGACGAAATTTGATTTTTTTACTGGACATGTTTAATAGCAAAAAGTCAAAAATATAGTTTTTGTTTCTCAAAATTGTTGGTCTTTTTTTTTTATAGCACAAAAAATAAAAAACTCACAGGCAATCAAATACCACTGAAAGAAAGCTCAATTCATGGGGAAAAAATGACATACATTTAATTTGGGTGCAGCGTTGCATGACCACGCAATTGTCAGTTAAAATAACGCAGCAAATGGGCTTGGTCACTAAGGGGGGTAAATCCTCTGGAGGGCAAGTGGTTAAACTGTAGTCATAAATATGCACTGGAAAAGCCATTATGTGCCTGCTTTTTTTTTTTTTTTTCAGGGCTGGTTCACACAATAGAAACACAGTCCGGACGCATTTCTGCATGCATGTTTTTGATGCGTTCCAGATGCCTCCCCCCCCCCCCCTTTTTTTTGTTTTTTGGGGTGCAGGTCATTTTTGATGCATTCCAGTGCATTTGTGATGCATTTTACCGCATTACAGTACAGTTAGTTGTAGGAAAAATGCAGCATGTTCTAGTTTTTTTTCTGGAACTACAAG